ACACGACGGTAATAATGTGATTAAGGTGTTTACATGTCTATACTGTACTTCAGTAATGCGACTAAAATAGGAACACTCCACATGTCTTAATTCGATTTCCGTTTACTTCGATTATGACTTTAGCCGGATTAAGGTAATCATAAATCTCTGCTTACATGGTAGATTCTTAATCAGAGTACTGTCTTAATCGTATTAAAATCGGAGTATTGCTGTTCATGTAAATGTACTCAATGTCAGCAAACAGAGGGAGCCAACACAGGTAAATGACGGTCACACAGAGCTCTATTAAGGCTTTGGGAGAGGAGCAAGCGATGATCACAGGTGAGATAGTGGAGCTGATAACTTGAGTAGAGACTTAGCTGAACAGTTTCTTTGCAGGGCTACAACATGCAGACAACATGCAGGAAGGATGGCAGATGATGATGCAGATGATGATGATGATGATGGCAGACGACTGGGAAGGATTCAACAAACGGGTAGGTAGGTAGAACAGGTAAATTGAAGCACGCTAGTGAACAACAAGACCAGACACTGAGGTGGTGATGGGTAGGTGGCTTTATGCTGTGATTTGCAGCAAACAGAGGGAGCCAACACAGGTAAATGACGGTCACACAGAGCTCTATTAAGGCTTTGGGAGAGGAGCAAGCGATGATCACAGGTGAGATAGTGGAGCTGATAACTTGAGTAGAGACTTAGCTGAACAGTTTCTTTGCAGGGCTACAACATGCAGACAACATGCAGGAAGGATGGCAGATGATGATGCAGATGATGATGATGATGATGATGATGATGGCAGACGACTGGGAAGGATTCAACAAACGGGTAGGTAGGTAGAACAGGTAAGTTGAAGCACGCTAGTGAACAACAAGACCAGACACTGAGGTGGTGATGGGTAGGTGGCTTTATGCTGTGATTTGATGAGTGTTGACAGGTGAAGTGCATCAGAATTCTGTGGATTGTGAACGAGTGGGTGGAGCTGAAGGATCTGGCGTTGCTGGTGACTCTGTGACAAACATGAACTAACAATGACAAATAATTCTAAAACATTTATTAATCTTAGTTAATATTAAAGGGGATGTCTAATGCTATTTCAAGCATTCTGACTTATTTAGACTGCTAAAAAGTTAGAATCAGAATCAGAAGAATCAGAATCAGAATCAGAATCAGAAGATTCTCATGCTAAACATGGCCAAAGTTTCAAAAAACGGGTTGGAGTATTTCTGTGCCAAATACACTCCTTCAGGGTTCGTATAAGTTTCGGAAAGTTTTTTTCGAGTATGGCCCTTAATGACATCATAAAGGGCGGAATTCCTTGTATGGGCACTTCTACCAGAAGAGCGTCACACATCAACCAGAGCGAGAGCAGCCCAACGTGCTTCATTCAGGTTACGGAAGTCATCGGCAGAGCTGCACAGGACTCACTCGAGAAGAATGTCTCCAAAGAAGTGTTAGAGATGTGTTTTTGGATGTGAGGTAAAGATAACCTTGTTCAGCTTCCCAAAGAACCCAGCGTTAAGGGAACAGTGGATGCAGTCTGTTTCTCCGGGGGGCAGAAATGGAGTTGTGCAAGAGTGTTTGTTTGTTCCCGGCATTTCGGTAACGAATGTTTTATAAACAAATTAAATAAAATTGAAGTAAATTAAGTTTTTGTTCCTGTTTTATTTATGTCGATGTCACAGCTCGCAGACAATCGCTAAGCATGCTTGTGACTCTTTAGCTCCGCCCACGGCACGCCTCCAGGAGCTCGACTGTTTTCGGTGAGAATCGTAAAGCTGTATCTGTCTTTTATAAATCTGATCAAACTAAAGGCTCTTCGGAGATATGAAGGATGCAATACTACTCTATAGGTACTCAAGATTAACATGAGATGGGCAGAAACTGTGTGCTTTATGTCCCCACATTTACGAATACATTATTAAAATAAAAAATTGTTACTATTAACATTATTTAATGGACCTGAGCTTACATGAACTAATAACAGTTATATTTTTTTTATTAACGAACAAATCAACATATTAGCTAACTGCTCATTATTAGTTCATTTTAGTTAATGCATTATCTAACATTAACTAATAGGACCTTAATGTAAAGTGTCTTCTAAAATTTATTATTTTTAAAATTTTATTTAATGCTTAATTTATTTCAAGTAAAAAACTATTTTTTTTCTTTCTTTTTTTGGGAAAAAAATCTGACACCTTTGTTTTGCTAAGACTAATTTAACAACTAGCATTTTATGTATCCTAAATTCACATCATTAAATATTTTTACACTTTTCTGCATTATTTTGACACAATTACAGATTGACTGGAAATGATGCAGAATAAAAATATTCTGTTCGCAGGTAATCATATCTTTTATTTCATCTCAAAAATATTGTACACTGAGTTTTTATTAGGGGCAAAATATTTATTAGGGGCAAAATTGTTGGACAAATGAGCGACAAGTGTCAATTTTATGTGCATCATTTTCACACACTAAAAAAATAGAATGACAGATGCTCATTTCACAATCTGAAATGATCTTTTTAGTTTTCAAATTGTTATTATTCATATTTTTATTATGGATTTTCATATTTACATTCGAAGGTTTGGGTCTGGGACAAGTGTAAAACAATAAAACCTACCCATAAATAACACCTGACGAGTACTGTAGCAAAGAATTTGATTAAATGTGACCTTCATATAACAAAAAGAAAAAAAAAAAGTTGAAATCTGTTTTGTTACACAAACAACAGCCGGCACATGAAAGTGACTGTAGCTGAAGAAACACTCATTCGGCAGATCGAACCCAGGATTGGATTATATTAATGTCTCCAAACAAAATGTGTTTTCATAGCACGTTTGTGACCAATGTGTTTCCTTCAAGTACTGACTAACAAATCACATTTAATCTCTTTTTGGCACAGCCTCAATCGCTCAGAGTTTGTGTTGTTCAGATGGCAGCCAACATTGTCTGGCAGGTGCAGTTTTATTCGCCTCGATCTGATCTCAGCTCTGATGGGTTTGTTTATCGTGCCAAGAAGACAGAGATCTGCAGGAGCGAGCTATAGATGCTGATATTCCCTCATTTCATTTCGCTCACATTCATTTAACTTCACAGAGTTTCATTTAGTCTGTCTGAGCAACTTAATTTGAGTTAGATTACACTAACTCTGTAGACTCTGGCAGGTTCAGTACCTGTATTCGTTCCACTTCGAAGAAGGAGGCCATCTGAAAGGCTTTCTCCCACAGAAGCAGCTCACATTCCAGCTCCACGCTGAAGAAGATGTCCTCGCCGGAGTCCGTCTGAACGCTGAAGCAGTGCTTACGCTTGTCCACCAACTCGTTGCCCTAAAATAGTGAGTTTAGTTAGAATAATGTTAAAACAAGATTTTATGGATTGGCTCATTTTCAAATTGTGACAAATAAGTCTTTTTCATTTCGGACATGAAAAAAGATTTCAAATAGTGAAGAAACTCCATATAAAAGGTATTACTATATAAATATATAAATAACCATTTATTAAAAAATATAATACAAAATATAAATGTAAAAATATAGTTTTTAAATAATTTGAATTGTGCCTGAAAAAATCTATCTATCTATCTATGATACTTGTCAAAAGTTTGGAAACATTATGATTTTTAAATGTTCATAGATTCATGTCATTCAGCATATTAGAATGATTTCTGAAGGATCATGTGACACTGAAGACTGGAGTAATGATGCTGAAAATTCAGCTTTGATCACAGGAATCAATTACATTTTAAAGCATATTAAAATAGGAATTAGTTATTTCACATGGTAATAATATTTCACAATATTACCGCTTTTACTGAACTCTTTATCGAATAAATGCAGCCTTGGTGAGCATAAGAGACTAAATTAAAAACATTTAAAAATCATAATGTTTCTAACCTTTTGACAATATATATACAGTTGTCTACAGTTGTTTAGTCTAATAAATAACTATTTAATCTATATCTATTTAGTTTTATTAGCTATTTTTTTTTACAAATGTTATTTTCCAGAGTTAAGCATTAGTGCAAGATCTGTGCAATGTTGTAAATTTAGTTTTTGTTTTGTTTAGCAATTGTTTTTTTTTTCTGAAATGAAGCATATGCATGTGATGTTAAATGCAAATAAGAAAAGCATATTGCTATTTTTTTTTTATTTTGTTTATTTTGAAAGATTGCAATGATAAGAATCCCATAATGATATACTTCAAGTACATAAGAAGTATTACATATGTGTAGCATCTTATTTCTCCCCCCCCCCCACTTTCTACCACTAC